CTCTCAAACTCTCGCGATCTGTACCCCTCGCTTAAAGACTCCTTGGCTCTGGTGCAGTCCAGATTTCGTTAACATACAATATGAATCGCCGCGTGAGTTTATATGCTTCAATATAGTCAATAATATAAGATACAAGAAATTTATTGTTGTAAGTACATTCAATCAAATTATTGAAGGATTCTGCTTTGACAATTTTGCATTATCGACTACATTTGAATTCTAATAAAGCGCTTTCAATTGGTATTTTATAATTTATTTATTTAATATAAGCATATAGTGTAAAATATCGATAAAATTTTTGATTTGCTGACTTCGTTATTTAAACTATTTTTAGGCATTATCACGTCATGAATGTGACTTTGGGAATAATAATTCTTAATTAAATGTGAGCATTCTGACCTAATTGTCGTCGCTGAGCAGTCCAGATAGGAAAGAAGACTTGACAATAAGGTTCATTTAAGGGGGCGGGGGGACCTAAAACACACATATCTTGATATAGTGTTACCATCCCATACACACATATAAAAATTTGCAAAATATGTTAAATCGAATGTTAAAGAATTTGAATGCTCGACCTTTGCGGCAGCGGTTTGGTCGTCTGCAAGCTTGTTACATGACCATGCATAATATTTAAATTATCGTTTGTTATAATTATATCTTATCTTGTCTGGGAGGATGTTTTGAATTGAATATTGCTTACAGCGTTACTAGTAATTTTCCACGTTGAATCGGAAAGATACTGACTGATCTTTAGATGATGATATATATATTTCTCAGAATTTCTAATACGATTTCGAAAGCAAGTATTATCGCCGAGGGAATACTCAGAGGTCGCCAATTCCAGATTGAACTGATTCGACTTCCGCATCATTTATCACTTCCTGGGTTGTGATGCATCGCGATATTCCTATATGGCGTTATCGGCGGTACGATTTACTTTACACTTCTGGGCGAGTGCGTATGATCTTTTAGAACAAAAAGTTCCCACGCTACAGGATTTTTGAAAGAGGGGGTTCTGAAATTTATAATTGCCAAGTTCGACCATAAAAGCTAGCGGGGCCGACCGGGGGCCGGAGGACGTGGGATTTCAGGAGTCTTGCGTGTCTAAAAAACGTTTCAAGAAACGAAAAATTGCTTTGTGTGATACAGAAAAAAAAATAGCTTTTTTTACATTAAAAAAGGGAGGTAGGGGTCCGACCATCAACCCCCTGGTCACAATACTGAGACTACAACGAAGTAAAATCATATTTCGGACCGCCTGAAGTATGCGCACCAAAATGGCGCACAACCTGAACTCACGTTGTGTACCAGGTTAGAGTTCAGGTTATGCGACATCTTGGTGCGCATACTTCGGGAGTACCGATATTTCATTATAGCTGCATTTTTCTGATCTATATTTCATTAATACAAGTTATTGGTTCGACTCCAGTCTCAGCTGATCAAAGACTCGAAGTCTCTCGAGTCAAACTACATGGAATGATTCAGACTCGACTACCCGGCAGTGCCACGTGACTCGGGGTTTGAGAAATTCTAACCAATAATACGATCTAAATTTAGGTCTCCTTTCAGGTTCTCCTCCAATATCTCTCCTTTTGTCTTTTACTAAAACCGTCTAGCTGTACTTGTTTTTGCTCTATGAGCGGTAAGATGTAAATTCTCAAAATTTATATTTCCGTAGGTAAAATTCTATTCGAATCAGCCAGCTACGCCATCTCTCGGATAAAACTTTATTAATCCAGTTTCCAAAAAATATAGGAAATTGCGATAATGTACTTAAAATTATTCAATTGAATATAACGCAGCAAAGTTGAAGTCGTATTTTTAATTTCATAGGAGAGTAAATGCGATTATAAGTCGTATTTATATGGTAGGCCAGTCTTTCACGGATGGTTGTTATGTCAGACCAAGTTAGGGGCAGCTAGCCAGTCCATCAATCAAATCATTCTTAATTAGCCATTCAGGAAAAGCACAATAGTCAAAGTTTGCCCGGAATGAGCGGGTCAACCGCGAAATGACCGTTTGGTGCACTTGTCAGCGGCAACCTTGTAATAGCGGTAATCAATCTTACTTGTGACAGTGAAGCTCACAGTAGCAAGTAAAATTGAATATCGCTATTGCATGTATGTCAGTTTGTAAGTCGATTATGGAAGCCCAAATTACCTAAATGACTCCTACGATACCTTACCTAAAATATTTATTAGACTTGTCGAAGCGAATTTGATTGAAATATATTCGTATTATTTGCGCAGGATTTTAAACTTGATTGGACGTCTCATTTACATGGTAGAACCTCTCTTCCCGTCTGTGTACCGCTAGTTAGTACGGGGATAGCTAGTATGGCAATCTTACAGAATGCCTCCACTTGGATAACTTGACGGGCGATTATCAAAACCAAAACTGTGTTTTCTAAACTTAGTTTAAACTTTAGGCCTCATTTCATACTAAATTATGTTACAAATGGTCCTGCTTAAGCCCTGAAGCCATAAATACCATACAATTTCAAGTATGCTAACCGACAGCCACATGTCCGCGATAGCCAACCCGCACTTTGTGACGAAATGTGTTTTAAATATTCGGGTAATAAATACCATCAATGGGAAATATAAACTTCTATTGTTTTTCGAGTATTCACCACTTCATTGTTAACTATTCTATCTAGTCACGCCCGGTCGCACCAGTCCATTTGTGAAATTCCATTAACTATGGAAAAATACCCGTGCTTTACGAAACTTTGGAAGGGAAATGTACAAAGTTTATGGCCCTTAAATTCGAAATCGTTTCCCCTTGGTCGAATGCAAAATTCTGGCTCCTCAAAGCCAAAGCGTCCCATGCTAACCAATAAATCAAGTCCTATGTGGTCTGACATAAGAGAATAGATAGAAAGATTTACCTAAGCATTACGAATGGGAGATTTTTGTCCAGTACATCCTATAGTATAGGCTACTTTTAAAGGGGCGTGTACAGTTTTTTTTTTTTAATATGGTAGCCAAGGCAACATTTCTTCAAGAGAATATACTCAAATCCGGGCTACACGCACTCACTCAGAAGCTAAGGATCTCCGAGCAAAGTCACGGGGTCACTGAAATTCCAAGAGCAGCTGAAATTATACAAAAATAAGGCGTTTTTGTTTGGATTTTAATTGTAATGTAAGAAACTCTAATTCGAGGTTGCAGAGAACGGTTAAGTTGAATTATTGACGTGAATTAACGGTATTATCTTGTTATTGTCGTACCATCAAGCAGTAACTAGAAAATTGTAATGAACAGCAGAAATGTTGATTAATCGAGAATATCTTTTCTACAAATTTTCAACGAAAATAAAACTGTATCTGGATTAATTACATAAAATATACAGTGAAGGGCTTCCATAAAGTCCTAAAAAAATTCATAACAACTCCATAACAAAATTGAAATTGTAAAGGGACTTTTGGACACCCTGTATAACCTAACTAAGACAAACAGAATAAAAGAAAACGAATCCAAAACTACTAGTGGTGGCACAATAACTGGTTAGTTTTGAGTTGCCGCCTATTTGTAATATTATATCTATAGCATTCTGCAAAGAGTCAACGAGCTACTCGAGCTCGAAGGGAAATCGGACGTTGCGCAATCTTTAAATATGACGGCATAAGTTCATCGTTATATATTATTGCGTAACAAAGTAATTGGCCGGGCGGCACGCTGAGCCCACGCGGCCACCGCATGGCAGGAGGTATACGGGCTTCCAAGCTAAGATTAGCCTTTCTCTGAAATAGTAAAGTAGTGGTCCCCCACCTTTTTTCGTTGAGTTTTTCCCTCGCCTATTTTTGAAATCTTTATTTCTTCCTCAATATGCGTAAGAATTGAATTATTTTATTAAGGAATCCTTAGCTAGTGTCGCACTCCCGCCTTTTTACACTTCACGTAGTTCATAGAAAAATACAAGTAATTAGGGTATTATTAACAATTAAAGATTATTAGTATTACCACAATAAATACAACAAAATTTCTCCCCAAGAATGACAAAATCCTACCCTGGAAGTAATAGTGGTATTTTATTTATCACCGTGTGTAAATAATACGGTTCCATTACATTTGAACCCACGTACATTTGAACCCATGACAATTGCACCTGTATGCTATTGCACCTATGGAATTTTTTTTGTTTCACGGATAGTTAAACCCATACTAACCCTAACCCATGGGTTTTAGCACCCGCATATAGATTGAACCCGTGGATATACGCATGGGTTCAAATGTACGGTCACCAAATAATACATACATAACAAACAGAAACAAGAAAGGAAATGAATTACCCCACGGTTGTGAAACGGGGTGTTAAGTAAAATACACCATCCACACAAATTCTCTAATTTTTTTTGCAACGACATGCTCATTTTCCGGTCAACACCGCGGGAACATAGCAAAACCTCTTATGGGTGGCGGAGCAGCTGACTCTGATGATCGATGCCCCCTGTCTGTACCGAACAACTTTGCGAATTTATCATTAGTGTCGCTGTAATGCTCTTTTTCTATTTGACGAAACAACAAATCTCTCTCTCTCTTCCGAAATTGGAGTAGGCCTACTTCCTGAATACGCATAGCTGCCCCCGACGATTATCAAAGTCCCTGTTCGTTCTACTCAGAAACTTAAATTCTGTTGTGCATTCAGGTTGCTATTGACAACGGCAATAGTATGTGTACCAATATGGAAGTAACTAATTTTGTTCGCCTATTTTACATAGAGTTGTGTAAAGGGACTGAAACCTATGGGCAGGGTATGTATCCACTTGGCTTGGCTCAAATGAGGAAAATCGGAATAAAATTATGGCCTAACCCTAACCTGGTATTTATATTACGGGAGTATCATATAACCTGCTCAGATAAATATTCACACAGCAGCTATTCAACGATTAGACAAAAACACGGTAAAAATTCTAATAGCGATAACATACAACGAATAGCGAAATGATATGCGCGTACATTAATTCAAAACAACCCTCCTGGCGTGAATAGGACGAATACTTTGCAATAGTGAAACATAAAATCGATTTTATTTCCACAAAGGAAGTGAACACTATCGTGAATCAAATGGAACGGATTAATCTGTCTGAGGTAGTTTATTTTTTATTTTATTTGAATACAACGGTCATCACTAATTTCTTTTGTGATGTCATTGGTACTGGCACCAACATCTTTTGTGACATCACTGAAATCATTTGTGATGTCATTATCAGTCTTATTTTCGGTGCCATCATCGCAATCATGAAAATCTTGTGGAATATTCAAGCATAATTTTTCTATTTTATTGCTATAAATTTCAGAAATTTTACGTTTATCCCATAAAAAATCAGGAGGGACTTTCCGGAACGCCATGAAATGTAGATGCCGATCTTTGGAGTATTTTATTCGTTGGAATCCAATTTGTTCAATCGCATTTTTCCATCTTTTCATAAGTGCTGCATTTCTGAGAATATTTTCGGAACTAAATTATCATGTGACAAACGTCTAAACACTAAGACAAGCACAACAATATGAGTTATATCCTATTTCTCAAATCAAGGAAAGTAACAAGGTGCCTTAGGATAGGATAGGATTCACATATTTATCCTGGGGGAGGGGGAAGACGATTATACAGCTCATTTGGCGAACCATAATCTCCTGCCGGTTACCAGTCCATAGTGTGTACGGGATTAGTTAGCCACTCATTTTTTTCACAGATGCATGAACTTGATGGTGGAGGAAGCCGCAACCGCCACCGTTTACTTGAACCACCCTACGAAAGCAAGAAGTCCAGCAATCCCCTCGCACTAACCCTGCATAAGAATAGAACCTGCGATTCCCAGCAGAGTAATCAGAGGTGCGTTGTTGAGCGTATTCCTAACGCTTAGCACGATACGCCACACCGCCGAGCTCTTAGCAATGTATCGAACATAATCACAACACTCACAAGGCACTATAGTGTGTCAAATTTCAACTCCCAACCCCCAATAAAGTTAGCAATTAGCATAAACTTCGAAAATATAAGAATCTTACTTATTTTGATGACTCGAATCTGGAGTTATTATTAGTAGAAGGCCGTTTGTCTGTAGCACCTAAGCAAATAAGAATGTGTAAATGATAACACTAGATAATACACATAGTTCTACAAGCTTACTCAAGGCAAAATCTCAACTTATATAAATGCACAGGGTGTATAAGATACTCCTGTAGTGTGTGTACTAGGTTAGGGTTAGGCGATAATTTTATTCAAATTTTTCTTATTTTAGTTCTATTACGAGTTCAGGGACTCTCCGTGTTAGCCAAGTGAATATACCCTGCCCATAGGTTTCAGTCCTCTTTACACAATTTGATGTAAAATAGGCGACAAATTAGTTATCTCCATATTGGTACACACACTCCTGGAGCGCCTATTATAAAGTCTTGTTACAAAGTTAGTTCTCAATAAATCTTGACCAAGTTTATTTTATTTTGATCATTGTTCATTTACGTTTTTTTCATTTCAAACATCACTTACCTTGTGAGCTTTTTGGCAGATCTCCCATCTAACTTGTGGACTCGGAATATAAGTCAGAAGCAGAGAAAACACAACAATATGAAAATAAGAAGACGGTAGGATTGAGATTTCCGGAGCTTGTTGTGCAGACCTGAACATAATGGATGATTGCATTTCGACAGCTTCAATTCGATCAAGGCAATAGAAGTTGCTTTGATTCAAATATATAAATCAGTGCATTCAGTGGCCGCCAAACTTTTTTGATATAACAGATATTGAAGCAAAAGTATGTTTTTTTCAAAAAACACGTTAAAAATACGTGGATAGAACGTAAATATCCAAAATAAAGAAATGTAAATATTCAAAATAGGGCAGGCAAGATCAAATTTAACTTAGCTTTCACGCCCCCTAAAAATTGTCTACGACCCCCCTTATGGGGTGTTCCCCCCCTCCGTTTGAGAACCACAGATCTAAATTGATTTGTTATTTCAAATTCCTTCAGAGTATAACTAAAAAAGCCTTCTCTTTCGAGTTCCAAATCCCTCAAATTATGAAAACCTATTCGAATCTCTGTTTACTGAATATTCATCGGCATCTATTGTTTATTGTTGAACGTGATGCAACTCTGGATATATACTGTTTTCAAAATATTATTTACGGAAGGAATTCGGCATAGTATATGGTGTTTTGGCCATCTGTACCGCGATTGCCTTTCCAATTTCCTACACCATCGAACCCTGGATTTTTACCTTGCCCATATAAGTTACGATATGTAATCATGTCCAAAAGAAAATTTAATTCAGTCATCAGCCTATAACCCACAGGGCTGTAGAATTTAAAGTTGAAAAAATTATCCTAATTCGACTTAGCTTGAAAATAATACGACTCTAATCTTTAGGTATATGGAATTTGCCGCTCCAGAAGTGTGTGTACCAATATGAAGGTAACTAATTTTGTTCGCCCACTTTACATAAAGTTGTGTAAAAGGACTGAGACCTTAGGGCAGGGGGTATATTCACTTGGTGAACACAGACAGTCCCGAACTCGTAATGGAATTCAAATAAGGAAAATCGGAATAACCTGGTACACACAGAACGGGAGTACCGGAATTCCTTCCCATCTAATGATAATATAAGAGCATTATACTCACAATGTTGTCACAGTTTGTTGGAATTTCTCTTCTTCTTTAATGTCAGAGGAAACATCGACTTTGATAAAGTCACATTTGTGAACTGTCTGTTGTAAAAATAATAAGAATTTCATAATGTTGGTTTAATTAAGATTACAAGTAATTTCACAATCGTAGAATAGATAAAATGAGATTTTTATCCCAGGGGAGAGGAAAGGCGAATAGCGGGCTGGCAAGCCACAGTCTCATGTCTGGTTACCAGTTCATGTCGGGTATGGGATTAGTTAGCCAGTTGTTTGTTTTCGGAAGCATGGATTCCATGCTAGAGCATTGGTTCTCAAACTGGGGTCCGCCGTCGCTTAGGGGTTCGCGAAGCTATTTTAGGGGAACCGCAAGACAACTCGGCACATTTTTTGAAGTAAAAATTTTGATGTCAAGCTTTTACAGTGTTTCTCCAATGCACGACATGCTCTACTGGAGACATTATTACGTCATAAACGTTGGTGACCGTGAAATGGACGGTAAATCAGAGCGTACTGTTTACGGAAGGCGTGCGCATCTGATTTGTATATTTTCTCGAATAATTTTAAAATGCAACAACCGTTTGCAACAACTTACGAATGTGAAGCAGTTTTTTCTACGTTACTCTCTAATGTCAAAACAGAATGGACTTGAGACACGATATGAGAGTTGCATTATCCAAAACAGAACCCAAGGTACCCCCCACATTTCTTTACTGGACCGAGAGTCATCAGAAAAATTGAAAGGGGACCGATATGCATACTTTTTCAAAAAATTTGAGAACCACTGTGCTAGAGGAAGCTGTAAACAGCCAATGGTTATAAGAACCATCTTACAGTGGTGAGGAGTCCAGCAATCCTTTCACACACAATTATCCGCCACAGGATTAGGACCAGCGAGCCCACGCAGGTAATAAGAAGCCAGTGGTTACAAAAACCGCCTTTCGGCGTCTATCCTTTCACACATAATTATCCCTCCCAGGATTAGAACCCGGAACCCATGCAGGTAATGAGAGGTGGGATGGCAAGAGTATTTCTAATGCTTAGCACAATGTGCCAACAGCCAGGCCAAATAGGACATTAATAATTTTTTAGTGTATTTCGCAACCAGTTCCAGGTTGGGCAGTTTCATGCCATAACTAAACTAACTGCCATCATCAATGATCAACTATTTGGAATGTACTGAAATTTTGAATTGCGATTAAAGCAAATTAAAGTTAAAGAAAATTGCCAGGGAAACAGCTAAAGGTAAGTGACTTCCCTGGAAAAAAGGTGTTTGAATGAATAAATCACCAGACAGAAACCGTTTGAAGGAAAGTTGCATCTCACCTCACAAGCAGGTCTTAAATCTATAGCTGTTGTTTCAAATTCTTCATATTTTTTGAAAGGATCGTAACAACTGCCGACGTCCAGAAGTCGAAGTTTGCTTTGTAGACAAAACGATCTGAAAAGAAATAATGAAAAACTGTAAATACTGGAAACGAAATGAATGAAACCAATTCCATATAGACCGGTAACTGGACAAGAGGTTGTCTGTCATATGATTAAGCGGGCTTATCCACTTTCCCATGGGTTGAATGTGAAGATTTCAAAGAATGGCGCTGAAAACCAATCTTTGGTTATCAAAGCAGCGACACCATTACTTACGGTAAGCCTAACAGTAATTAATAAAAGCATAAGATATAAAAAACTAAATATTGGAACAACAAAAAATGGCGATCCAGAAGTTATTGTTATACACATACACGTCTCACATTTTAAAATTGATTTAAAAGGTATTGCCCGATTTTACATACTATTTTTGTTTTATAATGTTCTTTTGACTGTTTTTGGTGGACGGGCACGTACCTGTACAAATTTACCTTGTTTATTACTAGGTTATGCCCATCCTCCAGGTCCTCTGCATATTGTTTGTCCACTTGTTGTTTTGTTTCTTTCGGAGTGTCCGAAATGATTGATTGATTGATATGTGAACCAATATGGAGGCAACTAATTTTGTTAGCCTACTTTAAATCAAGCTGTGTAAAGGGGCTGAAACCTATGGGCAGGGGTATAGCCTATTCACTTGGCTAACACAGACAGTCTCTGAACTCATAGTCGTAATTGAACTAAAATAATAAAAATCGGAATAAAATCATGGCCTAACCTGGTACACATACTACGGAAGTAACAAAAAAAATATTGTAAAGATGAAATTAAAACGGAGATTTTACTCAAGATTTGAAAAAAACTAAAAACAAAACTATCAAGAAAGTCACCTTTCACTTACATCCTTCATCTCATCGTTGAAACTTTCAAAAGGATTCGGACCGAGGTGAAACTGGGTTGGATCTTTTTTATAATGACGTTTTCTTCTTTCGTCTTTCTCAAGATATTTATTAATTTCTTTTTCAAGAAAATATTTTTTGCAAGTGTCGACACACCACTGAAACGCATGAAATTTTAAACTCAGATAAGTGGTCTACACTAGAGCTCTTCAAACTGGGGGTCGGTCGTAAAAGGGCTTAACGGGGGTCGCGGTAAATTCTTTTACTGCAATAACTCATGATAAAACAAAATATCGATCAATTTTGAAAGATTTGGAACAAGTACTGAGGTACACCATCACCGAAGTAGAGCCAAGATCCAATCTTTTGTGCGAGAATATGAAAGTATATGAAATTCAATGAATTGTCAATTTTTTTTGGAAATTTTTTGTATTATTCGATTTTACTTTATTTTTATTTTAGTTTCTGAGGGGGTCATGATGGAAAATTTATTTCTTTTGGCTGTGCCAAGGGGGTCGTTATGAGAAACGTTTGTAAAATACTAGTCTACACGCAGAAAAGGATGAGATGACTCAAGTTTTCATTACAGTATTTCAACATCAACTTCAATTTTCCAAATTATAGTTATTCTGGCTGTGACAAACCACTTGTTAGAGCGTCAGACTCGCAGGCTTAATGAGATCGTGCGTCCAAACTCCTCGCTCAGGGCCAAATAAATTTAGTAGGCGATGCCAAAGCAAAAAGTTCCCTATCCTTGTAATTACTGCAGTTCCTAACATATCAGTGGTTCTCGTTCAAGCCTTGTTTGGAGTGAAAGGGCGTAAAAACGTTTCAGAAAAAAATAATTAAAATATTACATTTATCCGGTGAGTTCCATCACAATCTTCATCCCAAATCACTGTTGCCAGATCTTGCATTGATTTCGCATATTTGTTCAAGGTTTCCTCGTTCTTACAATGTTCCTCCCAGATTTTAGAAAAGTCGGGATCTAAAAGAAGGGTTCGTTTTTATTTCAGATTAATGTAATGTCGTCAAGTTTTTTCGAAAACATTAAAAACATGGAATACAAATAGTTGTTGATCATTTCAAATATTTGATACATTTTTGACATCCCTAGACATGGATCTCAATTACAAAAAAATCAGAAAACAAGCGCCACCTTTTTGATACTTCCTTCTCAAATCCTTATGAACTTTTCTTATTTCGTCAACAAAAACCTTCTTATTTGGATCCATTCTGCAGCAGATAACAATTCAAGCACTTTCGCAACACAGATTATTCTTTTATACTTTTATATAAACTATCAAAACTACATAACTTATTTTATTGAAAATATAGAAAGAATCATAGTTGGCTAAGCAGTCATTTTTGAACTAAATTTGCACAATTGAAAGTCACTCACTCAGAATTAAATTATACTAGACTCTCAAAAACATTATGGCAACTACTGGTTCATTTTTATATACCGGTAAGAATAAAAAAATCATGATAAGTTACAAATTGATTTAAATATATAAAGTCATTAAAAAAAATAGGTAATTGGATAAAAAAATATAAAGTGTGTGGGTGGAAAGCAGGACAATAATAAATCAACATAATGTAATATACATTTAATATTTAAAATAATTTCATCTAACACTAGTCAATGGTAAAAAAACAGTCATAAGTACCGTATATTAAAAAGTGCAAAATTCCTGAACATTAGAGAGTGTGAACGGGGTATTAAATTTGAATTGTTGAATATAGGAATTGGTCATAGAAAGCTTCAGATTCAGACACTTTTTATATCAATTATGTGTTTAATGGGTCATTATGTCTTGTGTCATTTCATAAATTGAGGAGAAAAATTGAAAACTGTGATAAAACATGTTGAAAATGCTAATCTGCGAAAAAGAAACATAGTTTCATAAGAAAAATCCAACAAACAGTGAATAGAGGAGAATGAAGCCAACAGAGAGGTATTATGTTTTCTATACCAAAAACGATACTCAACAATATTTTAATACAAAGAATCATGGATTGGATTGATAATTTACCATTTCGTGTGCATTACGAAAAAATAGTTTAAGCTTTTTGAACAAATAATTACTCAGAAAACCAAAACGAAAAAAATGAATGATATTTATCATTTTGGAGATAATGATACAAAAAATTGAACAAGTAGATAACTCGTAAACTTGATTAACATGACATGTAGAAATTAAAGCGAATGACTATAGTATATAAAATGTATGCAAAACAGAGAGAAATAAAAAAACAGACATGTGAAAAATTGATTCAAATATAGAGAAAAATATTGGAATAAAGTTGAAAAAAATGAAAAATGATGAAGTTTCAGAAAAAAACTGGAATTCGAAAAAAAAAATTCGATTTGCATTTGAAAGATGAGATAGAAAAGTGAGTGGGCGGAAAACAATTCATTTTTTGGGAGTAGTTTAAAAAAATATATTCAATAATCAACTATCATAATACACAAATTTCTAGTCATTTACGGATATACCATTGTTTAATGGTTTGATCGGAGAATCATTTATTTCTGTAGTTTTTACTAGAGTAGAAAACCATCGTCTGTCCTTTCCAGAGTAGCGTTTTGCAATCCTTCTCAACGACCTAACTTTTCTTTCGATCATATAAAAATCAACTTCATCCTCTGCAAGACTAACATCATGACGAATTCGTAAATTTTCTGGGTCGAGGACGTGTTTTTCGAAATCTGATAAATTTTCAGTTTGGCATTCGCTAGTTTTTGCACTGGGGGGTCGAAAAACTTTTTTAAAACTCTCCGGGGAGGAGATATTTCTTTGGGTACTGTGATCAAGCTTGACACATGGACGATAATAACCTGTTTCCTTTATCAAATTTGTTACGTTAGTTTTTTTGTGTTTTCGCCATTCGAAAAATTCATCAATAAATTGTTGTTTTTTTTCGGCATCATTCTCAACATTATCAATATTTTCAGAAACAAGTCGTGATGATTCAGTGAAAGAACCTGAGCTTTCTGAAAGAATTAAATTTGTCTGATCTTCTTGTTCAGAATATTGTTCACTTTTGACCTCTTCAGAATAGTGTTCACTTTCAAGTTCTGTTGGTTCAATTTTTTCAACTTCATATTTTAATGAGGATTCTGCGAGGTCAATTTCTAGATTTTTTTCATTCTTATTATCTTCAGTTATTGAATCATCCTCACTGACGTAGCCATACTCTTCCATTAATGATTGTAGCAAGGAAGAATATTGATTCGTAACTTTCGAGGGTTTAAATTCTGTCGCAGAAAATTTATTTGAGGATGAAACAGGAGCAGATTTACAGCGGACTTTTTTCGCTTTGTTTTTTAACAGCATGGAATGATTATCACTTCCAATTCCGCAAGATAATGCGTCACAGTGTTGTAAGTGCTCAAGCGGAGGGTTCGGTTCATGACTTGACAAACGAGAAATAACCTTAGGATTTGGACGAGGTCGTCTATAAAAACGTTTCCTTCTCGGTGCTGGAAAAGGTTTTCTCATTCTTCTCAGAACTTCATGATAATTGGGGAGATGATGGGTAATATTGTCGTGATAATATTCAAACCAACGTTGGTGTTCCGTGCACATATCAAACTGCACATTTTCAACTTTGGATTTTGAATCTTCTAGTAACCTATCGGTCATAACAGGCGGACTAGATTGTGGTCTCAGCTTTTTTTTACTTCTAGTTGAAGGAAATCCATCAGTTAATTCCGTAGCCGGTATCGAAGTTCTTGATGGAGCTCTGGGAGTGTTTTCAAATGTATTTTTACCAGTTGAAGCCGACATTGTACGTTTACTTCTCATGTCTTTCTTATTTTGATAAGAATACGTTTGTGGACGTACAAAAGTGAATCCACCTCTTGCTAGTTTAACCTGTTTGCTCGAGTTTCTCAAACTTTTGTGAAGCGTTTCGTACTGTTTATTCGCGAGTTTAACCTGCATTCGAAAATCATCTGGTGTGAGAGGATTCTTGATAAAATTATTTGATTTCAATTTAGGTTGGTTGTAATTCAATTCTTCATTTTTATATTCCTCATTCAAATGTTTCCATATTTTCTTATCTTGGGGTGTCGTAAAACGCTTAAAATTGTCAACTTTGTATAATCTTGTCCAGCTTTTTTCGACAGGTGAATGCAACTCATCACCAGTTAAAATTTGATTTTTTGTGAACTCACATAATTCTAAAAGATCTAAGAACTCAAAAAACTGAATCCTCCCCTTTACTTTAAAACTTAATTTTAAATGTTTCAACTTATGCATTAATTTTTTTGGTGAAATCACTCTCCCGCACATTTTTAACGTTCGCAAAAATATAAGTTCGTCAATTTTCATCCCGTTTTGATCATACGCCTCATACGATTGGAATGCAAGTCGAACTTCAAGCAATTCCTTGAAACTTAAATATCGTTTTGATATAAATTTAACTGCCTCCTTCAAGCATGTCGCATTATACGTCGCAGATTTCAAGTTGACAGTAAAATGTAGGTCAACATGAAAGCAACGATCTTCAATACATTTGATTAAATCTCTTGTTGTGATTTTTTCTTTTTCATCAAAAAGATCATTCGGTATGTTGCTCTCAAATACTTCTTTCGGGAATCCCATCGCTCCAGCAAGATGCCTGAAATATAGTAAATAGAGAAACATAAGAAATCAATTCTCCTCTCAGTCTTCATTAAAATCGTCCATCACCACAAATGAATGGCAGGTGATTACACCACTCTGCACAGAGGCACTGATTTAGTTAAAGTAGTAGTCTAGTTTAGGTTAAATAACGCAGTAAAGTCCATTTTGGTATTTTCATGTTATTGGCAGATTCCCATTATACAGTACCGAAATAACACTTCTAACTGATTTTCAAGTCAAAAACCAACTAGGTCACATGTAAAGTATCCAATTCTTGAATTCAGCAATCTGAATGGTACAATTCTGCAATTTATTTTGGTCATTTCTGGCAAGGATTCCACCAGACAAATTTCATGATCTCCGGATCCCAATAACCAGTAGTTTAAATAAAAAATAAATAAATAAATAAACAACGAATACTGACCTGAGTTCTTCGAGACTGAAGTAATCGACATTTTCATTGTATTGCAAATACATGTTGTGTCATATAACTGCAAGGCGAATTCCGCCAGTCCGCATGCGACCAGCTTCACAAGTTAGCAACAGAGAGGCATTCGCAACAACAAACATGAAATTACACAACTCTGTATTTCTATGAGGTGTAATTATACATTTGTCATAGCTTTTTTTTGTTAAAAATTTATCTTTTTTTGCGAACATAAATTTAAGAAATACACAAAAACTACATACCTAGATTGCCGATTTCAGTTGCTCTTTACCGCACCGCGTGGACAATTTACTTCGTTGCCGTAGCAACAAGTCGCTGTTTGGCTATTTTCTTTCTGCTTCGGCAAATTACCGGATCACCGCATCGGTATTCTTTTTACGTGGCAAATTAAAGCTTTTGTTGGGAGTTAATTGGCTTTAACAAGCTAATTTGTTGTTTTCAGATTTAAGTTAGTAACTAAACCTATTCCAATCAAAATGTTGTCGTTTCAAAGGACCAGGCGAACGAGGGAACACACAGGCCCGACGCCACATTCTGTGGCAATTGTGAGTGTTGTTTTGATTTCTAATAACGACGCTAGTTACGAACTGATAAGACTATTCATTTTGATATAATGGGATCCATTTATGTAATAAAACTGGTCAAGTGGTCATTGTTCTGAAAAGCAAAAAGGGCAAAATAATATTTTTATAACCTGTTTCTCTCTCTTAATGTATCACAGTCCAGCAATTCTATAAAATACAGAAATAATCATTTTTATTCACCATTGTTGATAGTGTGATCAATTTCATTTGTTTTCGATCTCTTCCTCAAATAGGGCAATGTCATATTGTATAGACAGTGTGGTCGGCTGACGCAAATGTAGTTTTAGATCAATTTTCGTTCAGATTAATCTAATTTCTGACTATTTTTGAACACCATAACTTTTTTATAATCTGTCTGTTAGCTCCTCAAAATAATTTACTCTACCCGATATTATGTTGGAAAAGAAGTTGTTTGATAAAGGGTTAAAATCTTGAGACAAAAGATGAATTTTATATGATATCATGAATTAAATCCCATGATTTGATTGAAAATTGAATTAACTTTTGTTTTATGAAATTTAATATCTGAATCAGGTAGCGAAGATGCCGTCTAAAAATCTGCCAGAACATTTAATATTGGAGCGACGTAAGCGTGAGGATTTAAGAGAAGAAGCAATCCAGATCACAAAGTACAACAAAATGTTTGATTTAAAGGTGGGTTCATTAATTATCAGCAAATTTCTACTTAAAAGATCTGAATTTATTTGGACTCTTTCATGATACAAAATAAGTACAATTCGCAATTGAAAATTCAGCGAAGTTGTAGTGTAGAGTAAAAAGAAAAAAAACATGGAGAGATATATTATCACGATTTATGATGATATTATGCGAATACATATATATATACAGGGTGTCAAAAAATTTCGCTTGATTTTATAGCAAGAACAATTACAAACTTTCTTTTTCTTTGTTTAATAATAGTTCCTATTGTGCTTGTAGTTCTGGTTTATCATCAAATAATATTTATTTAAACTTGAAATTGTTATTATTATAAAATCAGGTGAAATTTTTATTACTGTAAAACTTGGCGAAATTTTCTGAACATTCCGTAATTGTATACTTCAAACATGGTTCTGTTCAAGTATGCCATTGAAATATTAAACCCCTATTTTTATGCAGAATTGGAATCTTTTGAATCAATTTTCAACCTTTTGAATTAATTAACAAGTCTAACACCTAATTTCAGAATGATTGGGAAAGAGTAACTGACAGATCAATTCAGAAAAATACAGTTCAACGTCGAGTTAAAGATGTTTTAGAACAAGATGCAATAAAATTGGAAGAAAGAAGAATCAGGTAAAAATATGAAAATATTATTTATTTTGAACTTTGCTTGATAGTTCATGTGACCAATTGTGAGGAATTGCCTTGTGTTCAAGGCCATGAAATGATTGAAGGCCTTAATCCTCGAACCCGACTTGGACTGGTAACAGATACGATAGGATTTACATGTTTATCCACGGGGAGAAGAAAGCCGATAAGACAGCTTAATCATATGACGAACCATATCCTATGGTCCAGTTAGCCAGATGCATTGACTTGATGATGGAGTAAGTCCTAACCGACCAGCGGTTACATGAACCACCCTACGACGGACAGGAGTCTAGCAATCCTCTCGCACATAACTATCCTTGCAACCTGCAAACCCACGCAGGGTAATTAGAGATGCGTTATTGAGTGAATTTCTAACGCTTGACACTATGCGCCACACCGTCGTGCCAAGAGGCTGTGATCTGTATATTAGACTTCTTATCAACCTCTCTCACATTGAGATAAATATGAAAATTCCTTTTCCAACCTTTGTGCCTGGTGGACGTAACTGGACAATGGCCTTATATTTAATTATATATATATTTAATTGACTTTGAACAACAAAGATAATGTTTGCATAACTTTCCAGACTGCGTCAACTTCTCGCTGATGAAGAAGATGACTTTATAAGAGAGATGGAAGAAAAACAAGAGACGATGGCTGAACGACAAGAAAAAATGAGAGAAAGAGCAAAAGTTTTAAAAGAAAAAAGGGAAAAAGAGAGACAAGAAATTGTTGAACAGAAATTAGACCAACAATGGAGGTTTGGAATTTATTTCCACTGGAAGGACTATTCTATATTTTTGAAAATCGCTACCGGTATCGTTTGAGAAATTTCAATAACCATCACACAGTAATTAATTAAAATAATCAATGTATAATATTTGATAAATGTCTCAAACGCAAATAACCCTTTCATTATGCACATCCTTCGCATATTTTCATACCATAAATATATTTTATCCAGTCATGCTTTTCTAATAATAAAAACAAGGGCTGCTTTTTATTTAGTTCCTATATACTGTTACTGGTACATAGAAATTGAGTTGGATGGCTGGACAAAATTTTAGAAGACCTACCGATAACTATTCGTGTATACCACTAATCATAGATATCCTTTGGGCACTGGATATGGAATAAATCCATCAGTATAAGAGACACTGACATGTAAAAAGCTACGATACTCCCGTAGTATATGTACCAAGTTAGGCCATAATCCTATTCCAATTTTAGTTCTATTACGAGTCGAGAACTGTCTGTGTTAGCCAAGTAAATATATCCCCTGCCCATAGGTTTTCGTTCCTTTACACAACTTGATGTAAAGTGGGCGAACAAAATTAGTTACCTCCATAATCACATACATCTGAAACGCCAAAGCTACTATTATTGGAAAGACCAGAATCTGTATTTCTTAGCATAGCGCTTTCCTAATTTGAAATCTCTCTGTTTCGTTAAACACTAACACATTTTATTCCTTACTCTAGGAATCAGTGCGAAGAGCTCCGTTCTGTTCTTTCAAGACGACATCAAGATGAAGTCTGTATTGATCGGATGCATCAGCTCGCTGTGAAGTCTGACATGGAAAGAATGAAACAAGAAGAGGAGCGCATGTACGCAGACTTGTGGGAGAAAGATAGGTTAATGAAAGCTGCCCGAGAAGAAAGGGAAGCCCAAGAAATGATTAAAAGAAATCGGTAAATTGGATTATATTTGTTCGTCGCTATAGATGACATATATTGCCATTTTGTTGTCCTCCTCTATGGAGAAAATTTTGTTGACCATTTACTTAGCTGATTAGCTATATGGTCCTAATTGCTACTTGGAATTAGCTCTTTCAGAGAGGGCTATAAGGCTGTCGAGCACTGGATATATAAGGTGTCCTCAAAGTTGCAAAGGAAATTTATTTAACATATATTGTTTCGGCCCTCACAGATGTATTAAATGAAGTAAAAATATTTACTGGTAAACAATTACTCAATAAAAAACAGCAAACCTGGTTAAGATATATTGAGAACTGACCCCATAATAAAATTGAAATTGTGAAGGGACTTTATGGACACCCTGTATTGTCACAATCTCCAATATCATGGCTTCCATAGAGGGCTATAAGGCTGTGAACAACTCTGAATACCCTACCTACAAAATGGTAGTTACTTTTCTGGATTTTTTTGCATTTCAAAATTCTTTCACTAGAGCGATGCTCGATGTTCTACAAACACAGAAAGCAGCTTTGGAAGCTAAAAAACAAGAAGAAAAACGATTGGTCAAGGAAGAAGCTTTACTGCTACAGGTAATTCAAACTTTGTATTTGAAGTAGTTGATCATCCCAGAAAAGATGATAAGTCGGCGGTGAGGCCTGTGAAAGGAGTTCTAAAATTCGTTCAATCTGGAATGTGCGGATAATTCCTTTTGCGTCGCAAAGCCTATACTCGAGTCCAATTCATTATCGGGGAGAGAAAAGTTAAAAAGGCGGTATAATAATATCATATGGCCTCTCCTCCGGTTATCATTACAGATTATTATTCTATTAGTGAGTAATCTGTTTGTTTTTATATCAAGTCCATGTATCTGAAACACTTACTGAACTGGTCGGGGGACTGTAGTTTGCCATATGATTAAATCTCCTTTATTTCTCTCCCCAGGAAAAAAAATATAAAATCTTATCCTTTTTAAATACAATTAAATTTGGGTAATTTTTATTTTATTGTCTATATAGGTAGTTCACGTAGACCCCAACACTTCATGTATGTTGTTATGATTGTAAATTTGAATTATTTTCGATACAGGAGGAACGAGAGCTGAGAGAAATGGAAGAACAGAGAGCAATCCAACTTAAGAGAGAACAGCAGCGAGCTCATAAGTAAGTAGGATAAGCTTAATGATATGGATGTCGTGACGCTGCATCCAAAGCTTTATGCAGCCAACTATGGGCATTTTCTAATGTTTTGCAGACCAATTTAAATTTTGAAACTTACTGCTGTCCGTAGTAACTTTGGGTTAAATTTTTTAAGATCAAAGTTTTTATAAATCATAATCCTTGAATGTGAATCCTTGAGATGTGAATCAACAATTTCTTGGAATTGCAGTCAAGTGGAAATTTTTATCGAATTTGCAGTCTTTGTATTCCATTTTTTCAACTCTAAATAATTAATTTAACCAGTCTCAATGGCTTCAAAAATCATTACCGATATGTACAATGTTTCTAGAAATGCACTCGAAAAGTCCATGAAACTCAAAGGACGTCGAGCAGCTCAAGAGACTCAGGAAGAACTCGCTCTCGATATGAAGATATTGGAACAGTTACTTGAGGAATCAAGAAACGAAGCTCACGAAATTGCTG